TCCCACCGGGTCCTCTTTTCGCTAACGTATCAGTGCTATCTGTAATGTAGTAATAGGTATGAAAGATGAACAGACTACAAAAATGACAGCAGAAGGAAATTGAAAACAATCAAAAATTAAAATCTATTTAGCAAACACCATTGCTGGTTGCATCGTTAAAGAATTTCCTAGAAATGGTCACTCTGTTAACGAGTCACAATGCAGAAATGAATACCAGCGACAAATATGGGGTATTTATTACACACCTAACCACAAAAATCTTTACACAAATCTTTTTATTCTCTAAATATTATTGGTCATCAAAAAGCAATTCTTTTTCATAGAAACTTCAAGATTTTATTGAAGTAAAGAAAAATACTGGAAAACTGTGCCGTTTAAAATTTGCATTAAGTGAACATAACTGTTCTGTAGTTTAGGTAACACCACTGCATGCTGCATACTCAAGAAACCATAAAGAAGTGTTGAAAGAACTGATCGAAAAAGGAGCCGACACAAGCGTCAAGAATAGAGATGGAGTAAATGCTTATTTGCATATTAAAAACTGTCAACTTCTGAATCTTTCGATTATCTCTTACCAATGTACTGCTTCTTATTCTGACCATCTTAAATAGCCATAGTGTAGCAGAAGATTTGTAACATGTAAATGATAACAAACATTCACAGTATTTTGCTTTCCTCTGTTTATACAACTAAAAATTAGAAATCTAGCCAGTATTTTTGCAAAAACCGTATTTCGGCCTTTTTTTCTGTTTAAACGCTAAAAGTGATAAATATGATATATAAAAGTATTAGACAAAATTGTTTTTGAAATTGTTCAAACCGCTTTTTGGTTTCAGAAAGTAAAAAACTTTTGAAGCTGCAGCTCTTACAGATTTCTAAGTTTCTCAATGACTTAACTAATTGCAAGACGTTACAAAACGTAAAAAGATCTATTGAAGCAAATACTGTTAAAAGTTGATTTTATCAAAATATTGCATATTTTTTAACTGATGTTGTAAACTTTTTTAAGTCTCGCTAGCTGCTAAAGGTTTGAACATTCTTAATATTTACAGCAATTTTCTCACCTCAGTTTTAAGAAAGTTATAATAGATGCACTGCCGAATTTCATTGAAACAGTTTTTGCTTTAGGAGACATTGTTAACGTTGGCGTGTTCAAAAGGACAACTTGAATGTGTCAAGTATATTTTGGATAAAAGAAGTAGCTCAAAGAAGTTTGAAGACGAGGTAAGAGTACAATTTTTAGGAAACTCAAGAAAATTAGTGATCTAACGAATTGCCTATTCGCCACCAATTATTCTCTCGCTTTTTTTTTCTTGTTAATCAGATCAGTAACAGAACTCAAAGAGTTCTGCTATAGACAGAAAATTAGTTAACAATTCATTATAAGAGCGCTTTTAAAGATTCGTTCAAAATTTCAACTATCGTGCAATTACAATGAAATAATTAAAGTTAGCTTAGAATCACTAATAAAATATCGCTCGTAATTAAACCACCCGACATCGCGAAAAATGTAAAAAGCGGAGAAAAATAATGCTGTAACAGTAATGAGCAAAATTTCTTCAATACCCTTCTCTGTGCTCAAACATTTCTGAAAGATTTTGAAATAAATTTTACTCTCACTTGAGGCTCAATTTTCTGCTTAATATCACAGCTCCTAAATTAGGTAGTTATAAATTAGACTGCAAGATACAATCTGGTGGCGATTTGGTTGCGTTGCTTTCAGATACCAGCGTTCTTTGCTGCCATATTGCATGAAAAATTCGAAGTGATAGAATACTTGGTAAAATATGGATTTAGCATCAAGATGACAAATAAAGACGAGGTAAACCTCTGTGGTATAAAATGAAGGTTTCGGATTAGTTCTTTATCTACTGCTTTCTACTCTCCACTTCTTCTCGAGCAAACAACGCAATATCTTTTTTGCTGTTCTCTGTTAGATTTAATTTGCTAAGTTTTGATACTACTGTCTAAGAAATTTTATTGTTTATGAAAATTATTTGGGGAAGATGATTTGTTTTTTAAACATTAATCAGTAAATTTTTTGTGAACACCAATTTTCAAAGTTTCGTTTCATTTTAAAACCACTCGTTGAAAAATTAAAAATCAAGAATATGAACACTCAAAGATTTGAAATTGTATTTCGTATTCATTTTTTTT